ACGAAGATTACTAACATCATAGAATAACTTTACCTTTATTTTGTCAAAAGACCTTTACTTTATGATATTTTTATGAAACAAGGGCGATATATTTTATGTATTTGTTGGATATAATTTGAGTTCCTTTTAATCTCACTCAACGAAAAATGAGGTAGATGAAAAGCTATAACAAAGAAACAGATTAAAGTCGATTTAATATTATCAAGAATCGTTTAGTTCGGTGATATCACTTACTTGTCATTAATATGATCGGGAACAAAATTAATTAAAACTAAGATGGATATTTATGAACTTTCTTAAGATGATATTATAATCAAACAAAATCTAAATTGCTTAAATTATAAATGCACGTAATACAACGTTGTATCTCAAAATGGATTTAGAGTGGAAAGTGTCATTGTTGTATGTCATAATGTCAGAGCTTTTTCTTCAAACTTGGGTAAAATTGAATACAAAACAACTTGTCCCACCATTTCATCTTAATAACTTAAGTATATAGCAAATGAATCATTAACAAACAATATCATTGGAGCATGCATAGATTAAAACACATTCGATACGGAAAACAAAGAAAAATGATTACGCCTCACCTGAACTTTCATATCGATTATGATTATTCTTACTCGGGTTTTAATACACAGTTACATATATTTTATTTTATTTTTTCTATACAGTTACATATTGATAAATAAAACTCGTGATGAGGATATTTCGGGAGGAATTCAACCACTAGTCTCTTGCGTAGCTACCTTTATGGAGTTTAAATCATAATTATTTGAAGACATGCACTACCACTTTGGTCTTATATATATATATATATACACAATAATACAAAACGTTTTAGAAAACCAATAATACAAAAACTGAAGTTCATGTCTGTTAAGACTTATAGTTAAATATACAATAATACACTTTGTATTTTGTCATAAAACTGTGAAGAGGAAATTCAGTGAATTTGGATCAGCCGTTGATCGAAGGTTCCAAATTTAACTTAGAAGATTCCGATTTAAAATTATCATCTTGACATTGTGTGAAGACCAAATAAAAATTATATTTTGCCAGTACCAATCGATTTGACAGACAGTATAAAAACAGTTACGATTTTATCAGTGGTTAAATAAGTTAGTTGGCCATTAGTAAATTTGCAATTACAGATATATGGTTATGGATTGGGATGTGCATTTAAATCGATGTGGTGAACAAACTTGAAAATGAAGTTACAATCGTCAAAGACATTAAATAAGTTTGAGAAACCAAAAACCTCCGAAACACCTTCACATGGCACACACACTCTCTCTGACTGTTGTATCAGATCATGTGTTCACACATGTCAACAAATCAAAGTCTTAAGTATAAATATTAGCTAAATCCTCGGGATTTCAATTTGTTAATTTCTTTAATTAATTACTCCTGTATAGAGTATTGTTTTAATTATCTCAAGATATTTCACCAACAAGTCCAAGATGCTCTGGAAAATAGCTGGTTTTGTTTGTGTTTAACGAAAGTGAAAGATTATTATAATTCATGATGTTGGGTTGATGAAGAACCGAAAGACATAATTCGCGATCCAAAATCTTTATTTTCTGCGTGTTGGTCGCCGTACAAACGTCAATGTGATTAGGTCTCCGTATATAGGCAAATCTGAATTTTAACTTTAGTTAATTATTATTTATTTTACAAAAAGTTTGTACGAAATCAATGAATGATGGATATATTAGGTAGGGTCGTATGGATGCATCCACGAAGGAGTACCCTTTTAGATTTTATTTTTACAATTTTTAATAAATATGATTTGAAGGACACACTGATCATGCGTCAGCTTATTGTGGCCAGTAACAGTTTTATTTCATATAAGAATATGAATATATATCTTCACCATGAGGTGTTTCCTTAGCATATCCGAATCTTCGGTCCTACTTAGTACAAAAATTGATGACGTCACTTGAGTAATTGCATAATCTTGATCTTGAGTTTAGACAAGACAATAATAACTTTGGAAATGTAGCAAAAATGGTCCATATTGATTGTATATCGTTGGCAATAACTGTGATCGTTAAAAACAATAATCAAAATTCGTAAAATAAAGAGAGGGGTGTTAACTAAACTCGAGGCTCTCATGCTTCAGAATTGGTTGACTTATCTCTTTGGGCCAAAATGATGAACTGCAATCTATATTTTATTTTTGTTGATATGAAACAAAAAAATAGTTGATGATAGCCTGCGCAGGTCTTTGATCTCACACTTTATCGAAGTTTTGTTGGTGTTTTTCAGTATTTAACTTTCACTATTTTATTCTTAATTTTTTTTGTAGTTCATCAAATCTGCTTTATTTATGCATGATCCACGTAAACTTAATTTTAAAGTATTGAAGTGGATCATTCGATACACCAACAAACACTCTTTTGCGTATAATTTTCACATGTCCAAAACAGTACTGGACTTTATTTATTCAGTATATCTTTCACAATCCAAGATATAAGCTGTGAAAATGAGGTTTTCGCATGAACTATTTTATTTTGAATTAATGTAAAATTTTATTCAATCAAAAACCTTTTTACATTGAATGCGTCGTTGATTTGAAAGAATTAGATGAATCAAAAAAATGCTTATACTCTACGAAAGAATGAACTACGTAGCTATGAACCTCATCATAGTTCTTATCACCATGAATTCTGATGGAGCCTGAACATGTTTCTCATAACCTTGTCGAGAATTTTGATGAGTTGAGCGGAGGTTGACAGAGCTTCTCCACGACAGCCACAGTTTCCTTTCCCTCATGAACCTGTTTCGTAAGAACATTATATTATACATATCAATAAGGTTTTCGCATGCTACGATTCAATATCTAACATACTAATACATTCGATGTATCTTCTTTTTGTTTTGTGTGCAAATTCTAATGTATCTTACATATACTTTTTTAAAATGAAGATATTTATTCACCAATTTTATCCTCAGTTTACAAACATAACAAGTTAATAAAAGTGTTTTTGTTTAATAAGTATATTTAGATATATTAGTTAAATATAAGTAAAGCAATCATGAAAAGTTATACTTGGCCACATTTTATCCAATACATATAAAGTATAGAAATATGAAAACAACTTATATTTTAAAACAAATTAAAACATTCAAAACAACTTACATTATGGAATAGAGGGAGTAGAATATACAATTTAAAAACAATTTTTATACTTAATAGATTTCTCAATATTCTTCCACTAGTTCTCACGCTTAATTAATACATAATCTGGTATCAAATCATTTCCTTAGATCTCACTTTAGGTCGTCGTAAATAGTTGAACCCTAGGTCCTAGCATATATCTTCCATACGTAGGCATCATTAAAGTGAATAGCTAATATATACTTTCAAGATAAATATAGTTTTTTAAAAAAAGACAAGAAGATTGATAGTAAAATTAAAATCTAGAAAAAGAGATAAAATAGCTCTGGTTATATATGCAACAATTAATAACTAATAAGTGGTGGCTAGTAAAAACATTGGAGCTCCCAAACATGCAAATTACTGAGCTTAATTAGTAGTTTCTGACACGACATTTCCATACTCTCATCGCACCATTTGGTTTTCTTGCTGTTGATATTGAAAAATCGCAGACCAAATCCAAATCCAAATGGTCTGAATTCATTATTGTATACCTTTTCAATATTTTAGTTTAAGAAACTTGCTGTTATATGTGAGTATCTCATACGTATTTGTCTTAATCTAAGTAATCTATGTTACTTTTTCTCTATATAAGTATATAACCCTTACTTTGCCAATCAAAATAAGAACGGGACGACCCAATCTTAACCCTGAACTAATCTACTACAGGAACCGGACTTCAAAAGAGCCAAACCGGTACCAACCGAATGAATCATTCAAAAGTAAATAAAAACAAAACAAAAAATGTCAAGAGAGCATTTAAGTCCGTGAAAGTGAGAAAAAAGGAGATAAGAAGTTGCAGTGTTCCTTGTCCACCCAATCCACATTTTTATTTTATTTTTTAAAAAAATCTCTATTGTCTCCAATTCTCTAGAGAATATTAACATTTTTGTATTTTTACTCGTCATGAGTGGTACCAAAATTAATTTTTTGGATCTATTAGTTAGGTTATCTTCAGACTTCAGCTATATACGATTTTTCTTGTTTTCGTCTATGTCTATATCTATACCATAACTTTTTGTCCATGGTCCAAGTTCAACGTGCATTAAGTGTTATTTATATTCGGCCAAATTTGAAATATGCAGAATGATACTTAAGCTTCGGCGACTTAAAGAACTAATTTGGGTTTGACCAACATAATATTCTACAAGTCCTAAAAATAGTCAAACACTACAACATTTGCTAATTATTTGCTAGAAAATGTTATAAGCTTATTACATTACTCTTCAATCACATGATTTAAAAAGAGTAAGAAAATTAAATGCAAAAAATGAACAAAAGAAAATTATTTTAAATCAGTAAGAACAAAAAAAAAATGTCAAAATCATCGGTCCCTGATCTCCGGTGCCGGCACCCACCCGTTGTAATCAACTATTTAATTTCCGACCATCCTATATTTAACTCTATTCATTAAAGTTTAAACTCCAAAAATAACAAAAATAATTAAACGTCAGATGGCCCCCGGCAACAACAGTCAAATCTGAAACAATATGGTTACAAAACTTTATTAATAATATTATTATTATCCTTTATCATTAACCCCGAAATGACAGTCAAATAAAATAATCACAACAACATAAAAGTAATAAATAATAACATTAGTGATGATTTTAATGATATTAATTTTTGGGTTTCACATGTTTTATAAGCAAAGCTTGTGGTGTGGTGGACCTAACTCTTCACGCTGTCCCGAAAAAGACTCTTTTTTCACTCTTCCTTTTTCCCTTCACAGACTCTCTCATTCTCTCTACTCTGTTTTTTCTTTTGTTCTCTCTCAATCATAAACACTTATTTTTGGAAAATCAGAGAAAAAGGAAAAAAAAATTTGGAGGAAGAGATGGGAAATTGTCAGGCGGTTGATGCGGCGGCGTTGGTTCTGCAACATCCCGACGGTAAAATAGATAGATATTACGGTCCTGTCTCCGTCGCCGAAATCATGCGTATGTATCCTGGTCACTACGTTTCTCTTATTATTCCGTTGCCGGAGACGAATATTCCGGCGACTACAACGACGGAGACGGATGATAAGAGTCAGAGAAGGGTCGTGAGGTTCACGCGCGTGAAACTTCTCCGACCAACGGAGAATCTCGTACTTGGTCATGCTTACCGTCTCATCACTTCACAAGGTTTGGTTTTTTGAAATTTTTTGGAACTCTTTTTAGCTTATTTTTTGTTTGTTTCTTCTAATGGGGTTTTAATAGAATTTATGTTTGGTTTAATTCAGAGGTTATGAAGGTTCTAAGAGCAAAAAAGTATGCAAAGACAAAGAAGCATCAAAGTGAAACTACTAAAGAGACGAAGAAGCCATCAGTGGAGAAGAAGATTGCTGAAGAATCTGACAAGAATCAGAATCATCTGGTAAGGAACATTGACTCGAATTTTAGATATGGGTTTAGTAAAAGGATTAAGCTTTAATCAATTTTTAAAGTAATTAGATATGGATTTAACTAAAAGATGAAACTTTTCACTCTCTTCCTTGACTCAAACCCAAAAATTTAGTGTTACTTTAATGGGTTTTTTTCTTTCTTTTATTATGTACAGGAAACGAAAGAAGAGAAACAACGTTCAGTGTTAACGAGTTCAGCTTCGTCGAAATCAAAAACATGGAGGCCATCACTGCAGAGCATCTCTGAAGCTACGAGTTGATGTTTTGTTTTCGGTTTTGTTTACTTGAGGGACAAGAAACAGAGTCTCTGTGTTGAGAGAACATCAGAAGAAGAAGAGAGATATAAACTCTCCTCTCTGAATAAACTCGTTCCTTCTCTTGTGTTTCTCTCACAGGGGATGAAATTTTATAGATTAAAAATGTAAAAACGTCTGCAGAGATTAAGTACTGAGTCCCCTTTTTTTTGTTTTGTCTCGTCAATGTGTATATAAGTTCCTTAGATGAAAGAAAATTATAAAAACAGATGTTTTTGTTGGAACAGAGCTGTATTTTTAAATTTAATATGTTTAGACAAGTTCCTGGAATAAACTGTAGCAAGAGGATAAAATTCAAACACATTTGTTAAATGAGTCCAAAAACATTTGGTTTAGATGTCTGTGTGAAGTATAAATGGTTGTAAGAATTGCATTGAGTTGGAATGATCATTGGTAGGTAACACATCCTTTCAAGCATTTATGGGAAACCTATTTTAAAAAATCAAATAACTAAACTTATTTTGGATTATTGTGTTATGACCGAGAAACAGTAGACTTTTAAATTACTTGTATATGTGTTCTTTTGAATCGAAATCAAAGTGAATTAAAGTTGGGTTTTTTTTTTTTCTGTATTCTTCTTAAATTGTTTTTTATAGCAAATATGACAAATAAAAACCAAATAAATCAAGAATCAAACCAAAGGTTCAAAACCAAACCAAATTCAAAATGCTCTTTTATAAACTGATCAATTTTTAGTTTTTGTCAAAACTCGCAATAAACAAGCATAAAGAAATCCAACTCAATCTAGCCAATGCGTGGCTTTTAATGCTAACACATCCTTTTTTATTATCGAATTGCAAAATGACGAAAAAAAAAGTTATGAAATGACTTATTACAAAATTGCAGAATATAGTTTTCTAATACGATTGGATAAATATATAAAATAACAAAATATAATTATTTATAAATATATTTTTATTATATAATAAATATTAAAATATTAATAATTAGATTAACTAATTATAAAATAATATGATATATTGTAATTTTTTATAATTTATTTTTTAAAATAATAAAATATATAAAAATTTAAAAATATCGCAAATCTTAACAATAGAAATAATTTTATGTCACTAAATAATTTTTGTAGCACTAAGTTATTTATTTATTTTTTATTGAAATAATAAACATAATTAATTATATAATTTAATAATATAAATATTAATTTTGTAAATAATTTATTTAAAACATAATTTTCCTTTTAATGAAGATTTTTTTGTAAGAAAAAATTGTAATTCTGTAGATTTTACGTTTTTATATTATTCTGCAAATATTTTTTATTAACAAATAATTTGCATTTTTGTGTTTTCTCCATTTCGTCTGCAAGGTTTACCAAATAATAAATTTCATTTCTTGAATAGTGAAGTAGTGATTACAGTGTTCTACTCATATATTTGGACTGTATATCTTCTAGACAAATTATATAATCCACAATTTTAATGGAGAGTGAGAGAAATGGTTTTCTATTTATAGAACAAAACAAAACCAAAAAACGTAGGAATCATAAACAAATTTAAATTATAACCGGAAATGTTCTTGTCAAACCGAACAATTTAGACTAAACCGAAATAACCCTCTATCAGTTTACCAAGTGGTTGATCATAGAACCATATGATTCTACAGATGTTATATGATAAGCCAATCACACTTTTGGCCTTATCCAAAATCTTTTGTGGGTAAAATCGTGTCTTGTCATTAAGCCAAAATCTCTCTCTTGCTGTGTCTGTCCAGAGAGAAAATGGCCGTTTCAACAGTAACACTTCCCTGCTTCAAACTCCATCATCAACCTAACCTCCTCCTCCGCTGCAACAACTCATCTAACCAATCACTCCTCAGATTCCATTTTTCACCTCCAAAACCACTCTTGATCTCCTCACGCGACGGTTCTCGGCGATTGAAGGTCCTGCCGGAGACCATCACCGTCAAATTGGAAGAGGAGGAAGATAAAACCGTTGATCTTAGTCCTCCTGCCCCAATTAACACTAAGCTCTACTTTGGGAACTTGCCTTATAATGTAGACAGTGCAACTCTCGCAAAAATCATTCAAGATTTCGCTAATCCTGAGCTCGTCGAGGTTCTTTACAACAGAGACACAGGACAGAGTCGTGGATTCGCTTTTGTAACCATGAGCAATGTCGAAGACTGCAACATCATTATCGAAAACCTCGATGGAACTGTAAGTGAGAATAAAAGTTTTCAGCTTTAACAAAAAAACCTTACATTTCCGTTGAATTGTTGATTGGCTTTTGTCATCAGGAGTATCTTGGTCGGAATCTGAAGGTGAACTTTGCGGATAAACCAAAGCCTAACAAAGAACCTCTGTATCCAGAAACAGAGTACAAGCTGTTTGTTGGTAACTTGTCGTGGACAGTCACTTCTGAGTCATTAGCTGGAGCTTTTCGAGAGTGTGGAGATGTGGTTGGTGCTAGAGTTGTCTATGACGGAGATACAGGCAAATCTCGTGGCTATGGCTTTGTGTGTTACTCTTCCCAAGCGGAAATGGAAACAGCGGTTGAATCGCTCGATGGGTTTGAGCTGGAGGGTCGTGCGATTCGAGTAAACCTGGCTCAAGGGAAGAAATACTGATATGTCATCATACTATATACAACAACATTGTGGAATCATTTTGAAGCTTTTTTAAAACATTAGAACTATGTTTCAACTGAACTAATTAACTCAAAGATCAATAAAGTTTTATGCTTTAAGGTTTGGTAATAGTTAATCAGTACCAGTGCAATTCTTGAGGTCATTGTCCTCATGATCTTGTGCTCATTTCAGGGCTGCTCATGCGGCTTGTGGTCCTCAAAGTAATCACCTTTCGTTGAGAGTGTCTGCTATGTCGATGGAGGATATGGACCAAGAGTGTCCCCAAAATCTGTTAGGACATCACGATAGGACATATCAAAACATTAGAGACTTAAAAACCAATCACTAATGCAGAGACTCGGATGAACTACAGTACTATATTATGCCTCAAAAAGCTAGTCACAAACCATACTAGCTTTCCTAAACCAAACAGCTCCTTACAATCTCTCAGAATCAAAATATGTTTTATTGACAAGGTTCAGAACAAACAGCTCCTTACTCTAAGCCGGAGTATCATAATTCATAAGCAATCACCAAACCAAACCTCAAAGTTTAAGCAATTACATAATGATCTTTGACACATCTCTCAGATGAGAATTCGACAACAAAACACAATCAATATCTAAAAGTTATGTTCTTTCTCGCTAGAAAGGATGTGTCAATCCTTAAAACGGGCATGATTCGCAGAAACATTACCATCTACATATCACTCTAATTTAAGATGGTCTGAAAGAGTTTGAACATATAAGATACAGAACTCAAAATTATGATGACATCATCCTCTAATTCTTGAAGTTCATATCTCACATACCTCACAACTTCATCAAAAGGGTCTCAAGTCTCAACGAAAGGTCCATCTCCGTCTCCTAAATAAGTCCCATCAGTCGTTTCAAGTAAACAACATTGAAAAGCCATCAAATTTTCAAAATTCAGGAAAATATAGCTTAGGGGAAAAGAACGAAAGTCTCACCGTTTAAGCAGATTTGTAGACGAGGAAGAATGTGAAAGGGATCTTAACTTTGTTATTTCCCAATGGAGTATGTGGGAAGGAGATATGGAATAGGAAAGGTCAAGAGAGAGAACAGAAAATGTAAAGGAAAGTTAATGGGTGAAAATATAAGAAACCAGAAGTTGAGAGGCTAAAAAGTTAAGAAAAAAGGAAGCCTGTCAGACAGACGTGCGACCACTCCAGAGAGGTCAGACCTAACCAGATAGCGATCCTCTACAGCTCAGAGACTCCGAGGAGAATCGTGGCCGTTAATCACACTCAGATCGCACGGCCATTACTCATCAACCAGGTTTGAGGGCCAGTCTCCTTAGAAACCAAGGATACAGAGGTACGAACCTATAAAACAGATCCTGTTAAAATAGATTTGTAGACGAGGAAGAATGTGAAAGGGATCTTAACTTTGTTATTTCCCAATGGAGTATGTGGGAAGGAGATATGGAATAGGAAAGGTCAAGAGAGAGAACAGAAAATGTAAAGGAAAGTTAATGGGTGAAAATATAAGAAACCAGAAGTTGAGAGGCTAAAAAGTTAAGAAAAAAGGAAGCCTGTCAGACAGACGTGCGACCACTCCAGAGAGGTCAGACCTAACCAGATAGCGATCCTCTACAGCTCAGAGACTCCGAGGAGAATCGTGGCCGTTAATCACACTCAGATCGCACGGCCATTACTCATCAACCAGGTTTGAGGGCCAGTCTCCTTAGAAACCAAGGATACAGAGGTACGAACCTATAAAACAGATCCTGTTCAAGTAAGGTCGTAACCTAAAACTTCATCTCTCCGCTATATAAACAACATAACTTCTCTCTACGTTACCGATGTGGGACGAAAGTAAACAACTTCAGGTGCAGAAAATGTCGTCGTTTTGAAGCTCAGTGAACTAATGTCTAAAACGCCGCCGTCTCGCAGAAAACATAGTTCTTGATTAGAGAATTATGAAACTAAACAGAAGAAACAAAACCAGACTCATCATCAGTTACACCAATTGTATATATATATTTTAAAGACAAAAACGAAACAGAAACAGAATCTGGAATATGAAGTAGAGTTCCTTTTTAGCAAGCCTATACTTCTGCATATCGAATCAGGTAATCTAGTGGGACTCGGAAGAGAAGCCTAATCCTGCAAATCACTTTACTGTAACTCCATCTACGTGTAGTACCTGAAGACACAAATGTAAGAAAAGATATGATGCTACGATGGTCATGTCATGTGTATGTATGTACATGTTTTGATATATGTATGTGATAATACTGCTTTAAACATTGTAGCCATGTTTACCTCTCCTGCAAAGAAAAGATTCGGAACCAATTTACTCTCCATTGTCTTCAAAGAAATCTTGAAACAGTAAGAGACACTGTAAAATAAGATTTAGTAAGAAACGCCGAAAAAAGGATTGATTTAGGTTTCTAAAGAATGCAAACCTCGGATAAAGGAACTCTTCCTGCTGTCACAAACTCCTCTTTGTATTGACCCTTTTGCAGCAACATAACAAAACACAATGTCATCATCGTTATCATCTTGAGTAGTTTGATCAAATCTGATAAGTTTCATGTTTGATGTTATATACCTTTTCAGTGACTTGAAATGTACAATGTTTAAGAAGATCGGAAATGGAGCTCAATGAGTTATTTGACAATGAAGCCCACAAGGTGTCTCTTGAAGAACCCTGCTTGGTCATGAAGACAGTCAAGGACATTGGCATAAGATTAAGAGGTTTTACGATATGGAAAAACTATGAAAGATGGTTTGGTAAGAACCTCGCGGGATAGAATGTAACTCCATAATCTATTGACAAGACCGAACTGAGGAGGAAAGGAATTGAATACCTTATGCTTCTGCATTGAACAATGCTCAAGCTTTAAAAAAAACGTAAGAACTACTATATCATAGACAGTGGAAACAAACCATATATATAGAACGAATGTCAATAGATCAAACCTAAAATAAGAGCTAAAAAAAAACATATTTCTTTTGATGATGTTGGATCAGATTCGTAAACCTTGCAAGATTTTCTTTACCTGGACTCTATCATTCCTTGCCTTGGCTCGAGCAATCATGGCTTTGGTTTGGGTAATTTTTGATTAAAGGTTAGCTCCAATTTTCTCCATCTTTTGCATTCAAACTTGTAAAGCCATCTTCCTAAGGCGATGAGGTTGGCCTCTCACGAAGTTTTCATATCCAAACTCCAACTGTCCAGACCCGTTGACTCTTTCAAATCCGCGATACTGAAGCTCTAAGACAAAGTGAAGGTAGTTTCTGCCCAATCCAACGTATTTCGGGAGAAACTCTTTGCAGAGCTTTTTGAGATCCCAAACGATGGAAGTGTTGTTGCTTTAGCTCCAAGAGATGATTGGATCCAACGAACTATCATCCACAATCTTGTATATTCTGATGTAGAAAGAATGCAATCCTTTCGGAAAACTGTGAGTCATCATCGTCGCTATGGAAACCCTAGATTCACCAGAAAATGAAAGACTGAGAGGAATCGCTGTTCCGGGATTTTTATCAAACCGCGAATAGTCGGAAGCAGAAGCAAGCGATTTTCGATTAAGGTTTTAAGGATTGTCAGGAAACGTAAACCAGAGAGTGAGGGCGAGAGAGAAGAGAAAAGAAAATCAGATATTGGCTTTCAGGGGAAATATGTAGCATATATAAAGACGGCCGTGGAAGTTACACTTCGCCCATTCTTCGTCTGCTGGGCTTTACCCTTAGGCCCATAATTAACCGGGCCCAATTAAATACGGTGTTTCATAAGTTATTAGGCTATCATTAAATGGTTCATAACTATGAATATTATTTTTTATTAAGTTAATGTTTTAAAATTCATACTATTATATTAGGAACACTTAAACTAATTTGTTATATTACATGAAATTCTATTAGTTTTTTTTTTGTTTTTTCTAAAAAATTATTAATGATAGTTTAGTTGTTCGTTAATACAAATAATTAATTTTCATTTTTTTTATTTAATTCTTATATGTATATATGACCAAACACATTAGTTTCAAATATTTCTAGATTAGTTTAATTCTAATTACCAAATACATTTAAATAATTTTAAATTTTCCATTAATAATTATTTCGAAAATTCTTATTAATCTTAAAATTAATTACACCCAAATTTATATAAACGAAATGAAAATTATAATTACTATATATATGATTAAATTATAAAAATTTACACAATATAAAAAACTTTGCAAAAAAATATAACAAAAAATATTTATCATATATTTATTATTATGTAACAATATAATAGGCCAAACACATATGTTTATAAATAAATAGTAATTATAGTTACTATAAATATATATAACTAAATTATATACATTTTGTAAATTTTTTTTACAAAAACAAAATCATATTCTTATTATTATGCAATAATATAACCAAATATATATGTTTGTAGAAAAAATAAACTAAGACATCATTTTTATGAATATTTATATATTATTCGTTATATGTTTAGTGCAATCGATGAAATTTAAAAGCACCACTAGATGTTGGACCTGCGCGCCCGCGCAGGTATATGATTCTTGAAGTAAATTTATAAATGTTTAAATTATGTAGTATAAGGAGATTTATATATTATGTTATAAGATAATCTGTTTAAATTATGTAGCACAGCTTTATTTTGAGAGAATTAATAGTCTGTTTTTCATATGTGTATAGAAAAGCTAATTGTTTTTTTTTTGTTAACAGAAAAGCTAATTGTCTTGCTGATGGATTAGCTAACTCTGCTTTTTTCCTTCCTTTAGGTGTCTAGTTTTTAGATTCGGTTCCACCTAGCTTAGTTTCGATTTTCAGTTATGATATGATCGGTTCTGCGCGCCCAAGAAGAGTTTGTGTGTAGCTAGTTTTTATGTTTTGAATAAAATCAGGAGACAGTGTCTCCCCCTCCCTCCTACCAAAAAACTGTATTTATATTAATAAAAATTGTTTATTTATGTGTTATAAGGATTAAAATTAAATTTTGTAAATACAAAATATAAAATTAAAAATAAGATAATATAAGTTACGTGCAACTAATTCAATATTGTAGACACACGAGTTATTATTGTAAAATATGATAATATGTTATTGGTTTTATATGAAACTAGATGACTGCCTGCGCATTGCGCATACCAATGCTGTTATAGATATTTAGAGATATAGAACACAAACATCAGCCCAAATATCCATAACATTAAATGTAAGTTCATGTAGTACAGCCTATTGCCTACCTTGTTGAGCAAGGATGCTTTCTTGAGTAACTCAGAGACATACTCGGGATTGAAAAAAATTATGATCCCGCTGAAATCATCAGAGGAAGGCTCTTACAGAAAGTTAATAATGATGTTTACTTGGTTGGTGAACTGAATGGAAAGAGAATAAGAGAAGAAAAAAAAGAGAAATATTGTGAGGATTGTTACTTATTTAAGTGCGATTGTGAATTCACTATGAACTCCATAATTAACAGGTATTATCATATTAATAGGTATAATCTATTTTACTTTCATCTTAAACATATGACACCATACATCTGACCTATACTCAGTCGTTAGGTTATGTATTTTCAAATGCCTTGTAATCTATGACCACTTAGGGTTACATGTAATAGTAATGAAAAAATCCGGAAAAGCGTACTACTTGCAAGTTCTGCAACATATACTTTAGACCTCCAGTAAAAGATGTCAGTATTATGATTCGCTGACCCTCACCGGGTAGATCGCAAACTCTCTTATCAACTTTCTCTTTTATGGAAAAATAACTCTTTGAGTGCAGCTTCTGTTGGTTCAACCACAAATATTGTTATCAATTAGTTTCTATCATTGTGAAGGCATCTACTAAAAACTTCTGGTACAATCACCCACACATAAAAATTATAGGTAATTCCCATGCTTATCTTAGATGCGGAAAGCAAAACATTCACGCATTATAATTGTTCTCTTCCCTCTAGCAATATCAATAAAATCAATATCAATGCCTAACCTAAAACCATCCTCACAATAAGAAATTATCAAAGGATATTGTAGGGGAAAATAAGTTGGATGTAACTCGCTAATACACTTCAATTCCCTGATTTAGTCTCTAAAATTATCATGTGTGTCCACCCCTATATTAAAATCATTTTGTATCAAAGTTGCAACCTCATTTGCTGTAGGAAGGTTGTTAGTTCATCCATCAGATTCTCTATCACACGACAACACTATTCAGAGATTCACAAAATCAACCTTTTATTTATCTTTTGCTGTTCAAAACGCTCTCACATGAAAATTATGCCTATCCAACATATTCTGAAGCTTCAAAACTATGGTTTCTCTTAATTTTTCACTGTCTCCGGTTCTCCTGTTATTCAAAAAATAATAATTTAATAGTGAAAGACAGCATAAATAAATCATTCATGGAAAATATATGTATTACTCGTATGCATCTATCCGATTGTAAATCTCATTTTCTGTGTCATATGTATAAAGTTGGAGAAACGCCGGTGATTCACCATCCCAATGTAGTATATCACATATACCAAATACGGACCTTTGCCAGAATGATCATTATTTCCACCAAGAGAAGTGAACGAATACATCATGTTATAGGTTCTTATAATTTCCCGAAAATGTTTTCTTATTTCATTATTGTTGTATATGAAAGAAAGCAATGTGTTTGGTGGAGCTTTGAGTCGAAGTAGATTTATTTTTTCTTGCCCGCAACACAATGAAAAGATTAGTTTAAACCTAACCGCATCCTTGTTCAATCTTTTCCCTAACCACATAAAAGCTTTGCAAGGACCACATGTATATATAGACTGGATCACTGTCATTGTATTAGCCTTAAAAATCTAAAACACAAAAAACACAAAATAAAATACGAAAAAGGATATTGAAATAGCTCTCATCACGAAAATCAAACACGACACTCCTGCAGCGAACAATCCCTTGCCACCCGAAACATTATCCAGTGGATTAAATTCTTCTACATGAAGAACTTTACCAACTAAATATGCAAGAAAGACGAAACCAAAACTAAAATGTGCGATATATAATATTGAAACACTCTAAATATAAATTAAAAGAACATAATAATAACTGAAAATCGTAGAACATAACTAATACCAACTAAGTAATCGATGTCATGATGAACACTATCCAAAATCCGTTTAAAAGTAACAAAGTAAATAAAAACTGTAGGCATCTTAAAGTAGTCTTACAGACAAACATCAACGATGTAAACTGTATCTTGAATCCATGAGAAGTTAACCGCAGAAAACCAACTTGTGGAAACACAGCAAACTCGTGTATGGTGACCCACACATCATGTGTAACTATAGACACAAACGTATCATACAAATCATGATCGATTACCGCCTCAACCTTCTCATCCTAGACATACAAATCCAATCTTCATCATGATATCCGTTCCCATATCCTAATCACAAAACCAAAACAAAATAGAAGTCGATGAGAAACTTACATGTCTATCGACCAAGATCAAACCTAATTCCCTCAAACCACTCATAGAAGCGTGATCATAGATTGGAAGGATTTTCACATAAACACTACCATTAGAACATGTAGTACTAAGAGCCGACAAAGGAATATCTATGGTAGACCGGCGTTGAGGAAACAAACCCGATATACCGGCAACAATATTAGCTACCAAATCAGGCTCGTCGTCACCATTATTACACTCAATATTATCATCATCATAACCAACGTCATACTCATAATCATCACTACTACGCTTATCATCGTCATCATCACACTCGTAGCCTCACACCTACATATTTTACACGTTAAAATTTTTTTTTATTAAAACATGAAAACATGAAAACATGGATACGATATAAATCAAATTAAACACTCTAAAAAAAGTATTCGCGTACAATCCATAAACAAAATTTAGACATACTAAAAAGAATTACCAATAAATAAAATAATACATAACTTCGCCCGAAAAGAAGATCGTAAACCTGAAAATACACCAAAATCATTAACCTGAAAGTCAACAACAAATCAAATTCGCTTAAATAAAACTATAAAACAAACCTTCTTTAATTTTTAAATCGATGAAGACGTAAGGAACACTGTAACACCCATCCGGTCGAAATCACAGGAGACCATAGCTACGAAGAAGTTAGATTTAAACTCTGATCCACTGTCCAAACAGATCGTTAAATTCTCGTGAGTGAAACCTAGACAAATAATAACATACAAACTCAGAACGATTGCAAAAAATCACCAAGATCGTTAAATTCTCGTGAGTGAAACCTAGACAAATAATAACATACAAACTTAGAACGATTGCAAAAAATCACTAAGATCGTTATATATTGAGCGAACGATCATAAAAGAATCAAACAACACCGAGCTTACACAATGACATATCGACCAACTCGCATACCACCGCAACTCTCGACATCATATTAGGGGAGGGGATTAAGGCTTTTATTAGATATATTAGGGTTGGCCAAA